CAGAAGTTCAGTCCTGGTGTAGTAATGGTTTTGACCTGGTTTACTCCTTATTAAACCCTGATTTTGTTGCTTAGACCTAGAGTAGTTCTAAACTTGAGCCAGACTATGACTAAACTCGGACTACAAAAAACCTGGAGCAGGACCAAGTCAGGCTACGTAGTATATGTAGTTTAAAGATTTTGTATTACTTATATGGGGTATTCATTGTTATATTTAGATATAACAATCACAAGCTATTTCCTGAAAACACCAACACAAATACAAAATGTTTAATTAGTAGGTTAAGTCACTCCCACTTCAGAGCGCTGTCTATTTTAAGCATGCTTTAGATCTCTTAAGCATTAGTATTTTCCACATTTAATATTTTATGTAAAAATATTAAATGCCTTTTGAATTTTGCCGTTTTTGGCCTCTGCTGTCAGCACAACAGAAATCGGCCGCAGAACGAGTCCAGTGATGATTTATGGACTTTAAAACTGTGCAAGAGAGGTCTGGATTTCTCCCTGTGACGCAACAATCCAGGGAAAATTGAAACAGGATCAATGAAACAACATGAATAAGATGCAACTCTTGGTATGTTTTTGATGAATGGACAACAGTAATAATAATATATAGCCTTTAAAATCCAGCTTTATTACTGTTTTATCTGGTTTCTGTTGTTCTTTGTTCACTCCATTACACAGTCCAGATTTTGATTTCTCTTCATTCACAGAATTCACCGTGTAGAAAACTACCTCGATACTGCATCCATGGTCATGTTGGAGTGGCACTACATTAGCATACATAGCGCGGGGGCCCCATGCACTCAGGACAGGATTAGTTCTGCTCTCCTCCCACTGTCTGATGGCTCTTTAGATGGACCCCAGCCCGCTCGCCCAGTGCCCTATAGTTAAGTCATTATCATTCAGCGCCATAGAGTCCACAGCTCTGAGAATCGGAGCTTGGGAGTGACATCTCATTTGGCGCAGTTCAAAGATGCACAATTCCCCATTAGACGATGATGGAGGAGCTGCTAAGGTCCCAATTAATCTCTATAAACACTCAAGTAAAGCCTTTATGTTTCCTAATTCAGCCTTGTAATGTTTTTGGCAAAAGTCGCTGTTCGTGGACTACGTCACGCTTGTTTTTACAGCTTGAGATAGTGGTGTCAGTTTTTACAATCTGGGGGGTAAAAAAGACTATAGAAAGGAGAGGAAGAAATGTACACAACTATATCTGATGCTGGTTCTCTAACCTTTCAGACAAACACAAAAATAGTATTACACTTAGACAAACTTTAATGATCCACAAGGGGAATTATTTGTACACAGTAGCTCACACATCACAGTATAATATAATATGATAATGGTAAATGGTCACCTTTTTATATAGTGCTTTTCCACCTTCAAGGCACTCAAAGCGCTTTACTGGTACATCAAGGAACCACTCAGCCATACACACACACATTCATACACCAGTTTACACAGACACTGGTGAGCTGAGTTAAGTGTCTTGCTCAAGGGCACAATGACAGCATTCATCTGTAGTAGCTACAATAGCTTCTCCAACCTGTCGGTCAGTTGATTCAAACAGCCAACCTTCAGATCACTGGACAAACGCTCTGCCAAAAAAACATAAATGGTAATAGGAAATTCAAAACAAGTAGCAAAAATACCAAGAACATTGTGTCAAATAAAACATAATTATCTAAATGTATATGTTCAAGTAAAAATAAAATAGAAATATAGTAAACACAAAATATTTCTGAGATATATTGATCGAATTGTAAACATTTGCTTAAAAATCATTGGACACTTATTTCCATAACCACATGAGGAAGGTCAGTGGCATATTTGCTGGGTTTCAGATCCACATTTTATAGATCAATATTATTTAATACTGATGGGGCCAGTTAAAATGTATATTGTTTAAATGCAGATTTAGGTTGGAATACAATGAGTTCTTAGGTCCAGTTCCTAATAGAAATCAGATTCAACATTTGTGAAGTTATTTTTTTGGATGTTTCAAGGCAAAGTGCAAAGTAATCAACAGGAAAAACTGGCTCTTGCATCATCATCACATTGTAGAATCTGAAAACCATCTGACCATGTCCTGAATGATGAGTTTTCATGGCTGCCATTAGAGCAACGTGATATTTTACCACACTGTAAAACTAACCACCATTTCAAATTGCTTACTCCTAGCTATGAGACAGTTAAAGTTTTTGTAGACCTTGGGTGGTGATCTGTACTGTATTGTACTTTTGCAATCTTTTATTTGTTTTATATCTTACTCTATATATCCTGATCTTATAATACTTTATCTTTTAATATCTTACTCTCTATTTTTTTTTTTTAATCTTGTTTCCTCATCAAAAACATACCTCGAGTTGTGTTTTGTTTCATTCACACATTTTTAACACACAAATCCTGCATATATTGGCTGACTTCTTCTCTCAAACAGAAAACACTCTGTTTCACCTTGTGATGTAATACAGGAAGTGCTCCACTGTATTTTTAAATTCCATACACCTTCACTAGAACCATTTGATTTCAGCCCTGGAACTGCCAATCTCAGCTCAGCAGTAGCCGTTTACTTGAAAACTACCACTTCATGACATCACAAGGTGGAACAGAGCATTTTGAATCAAACAAAACACAACTCTGTATGTTTTTTGAGAAGGTAACAATATTCTAACATGGCTTAAAGCTCACAAGAGTAACTTTTACCTAATATAGGACCTTTATGATGTATGCTATAATTTTTCTTCAAAATCCATAAAAAAATCTACACATTTTCTCTTATATTTTGCTTCCATTGTTTCTTCATCCATCAGGTCACGTGTTGTTATTCTTACATTTTACACACTTTAACATTTGCTCAAACTCATAAGTCTCAGTGTTTGGATTGCAGATGGAATTAAGCTTTAAAACACTCTCCCCCCCCTCACATGTGACTGGTGTGTCTGTGGCGCCTTGGCAGGCAGACAGATGACCATGAGCTGATAGCGCCGCCCTATTGTTCAGGAAGTTACATGTGATGGCCAGTTACCACACAGGCTTGTAATCTATTCGACTCAGGTAAGGAGGCGAGGAGGGTCGATTCTGTGAAAGCTTGTTTATGTCACTGTAGTAAAGGAGTATGGACTATGTGATGGGGCTGTGAAAGAAAAAGGCATTGGACATAAAAAACTAAAATAATTAGTTTTGCTTTTTCAATTTTTAAAGAGGGGGTATTTTACTTATATAGACATTGCCATGTTGCCTTTTATTGTTTTGAAAATGCTATATTCGCCGAAAACTGTTAGCATGTTTCACAAGTTTCACTCTTCCCTTCCTTTGCTCTCTGCACTCCCCCATCCCCCCTTCAGAGCACTATCACAACACAATCATGGTTAACCTGACTCACAACAGATTGATATGTGTATCACTTTGAATTGATTTCTAGATGATTTATCCATCTGAACAGCTCTCACTGAAAGCTTTTAGAAAAAGAAAGGACTTGCGCCAGAATGCCTCGAGCAGATTGAGCGAAACATCCTCAAGTGCCCACCCACCAATTTCTTCTTAGCCACGGCAAACATGTCAAAATGGCATATCCAACTTGCGCCAGGTAAAATCAAAACAAGTGTCAGGAAGGAAGATATTGACAAAAATGTTTGCCATTTTTGCAATACAAATTTGCACATTACAGGTGTTACAAACCACCATCGACCTCTGCTGGCACCACCATGTTTGTGTGGCTTCTTGTAGGCCCTAGTTCCACAGATATATATATAGATCCATGATGTAGGCCTGGTGCTTAGGGTTGTCGTCATGTTGCCTGAAACATCTCCCTGTGCACATAGAAGCCATGTGATTGGGCCGACCACTGCTCAGGTCGAACTGTACAGCGGGAGCACCTCAAGATGGATTCTCGTGAGTTTGTGAATTCACAAATACCACAAGAATCCATCCTGCTGAGCAGGGTTAGATCAGTGTGCATCCTGCTTCTGAAACTACAGCACATCACATCAGATTTGTCATGTTGTTGTGTACAGTTTTACATCATGCTTTTGTATATTTATGGAAAATTGTCGTGTGGGAGCATGGGTGATGAAGGCTTGCAAGGTCAATTCCCTTACAACCTACTGTTTAGAAGTTTTTTTTTAACAACCAGGACCCAGAAGGCAGAAGTACCACCAGAAGAAGACCACCACCTAATTCCAATAGTACCTGTAGAAAAGTTTTAACTTGCAAATTACATTCATTTCCTTGCCAACTCATCCATCATACCAGAGAACCAGCAGTGAGTTTTATTCAACTGAAAAGAGCTTTAAACCTTGTTGGTGGAACCCAGGTTTAATTATACAAGTTACACCCACCAAAATTTCAGTTTGATTCTAAGGAATAGACTTGTGATAATTGTACTTTTATATTATCATGTGGCCTTATATCTGTGTAATCAGCTCAAGATCATTCAGGAAAGTTTAATGTCTGTATTGAGAGTCACTTTTTTAGTATCGATACCTCAAATGAGTATCTAGTTTCGATACTAGTTTAAGTATCAATTAATATCTAATGTTTGACACCCTTATTTGCAATACATATTTACCATAGAAAAGATGCATTTGAGTACTCTCTCTGCATGTTCCCCATCTTTCTCATCCGGTATCCAGTCGCACGTTTTGTTGACCACTGATTTCCTATTTGTTTTCATTTTCCTTCCTGATCCAAATTGAATTTCCCTCACCGCACCGTGTTTTGCTTCCTGCTTCCAATCTCCATAACCTTTGACTGGACCCGACCTCCTGCGTCCTGCTACTTCTCTTTTACACTTTTCCTTCTCTTTCTCTTTCCCTTCTCCACCTACACTCCCTCTCTCCCTCCCTCTCCCACACACTTCCTACCCTACCTCCTCCCTCCTCTCCACCACCACTCCCTCCTCCTCCTCCTCCTCCTCCTCCCTTCTTCCCCCGGCGTGTGACTCTGCTGTCTGCTCCCAGCTCAGCTCAGTTTGCGCTCGGCATTGGAGAGGAGCAGATCAGCACTGTAAGCGCAGTTGCTCTGGAGAAGTGGCTAAGTGGACAGGCAGACGGATAGGGGACAGCTACAACAACAAAAGTAGAAAGTGCACAGAGAAAGAGCTTAGCTAGCAGTTTGGGTCTGCAGCTGTTGCAAATTTGGACTTCTTATTTGGAGCTAAAGAGGCGCTGACATGGGTAGGTTTAGCTGTCAAAGTGAGTTTTTAGCTATGAGAATGTTGGAAGGGTAGGCAGTGTGAGTGGAGATATCTGGAGTGGCATTGAACCCGCAACCTGTACTTTTTGGAGATGGACTAAATTTGGTGATTGACCTCCAAGCCTTTTTGGAAGTGACCCCAGTAGAAATAAAAAAAAAAAAAAAAAGAACAAGTCTGGATATATTTGTGTTTTTGTAAATTTTCGCCAAAGGATTCTTGGAAGAAAATTGAAATTGCTGGCTACGGTGGACCAGCCTGGAGGTGTCTGTTCTGAGGGACTTGTCTAGTTGATCTTACCCCTAGAACATGGGCGCTTTCTGGGGTAGCGTCTGGCTGCTGCTGGCTGGACTTGTGGTTCTCAGGACAGAAGGTTATGGAGCTCAGAATAAGAACAACATCCCCAGGTTAAAACTTTCTTATAAAGGTAAGTTTGGATTTATTTTAATGTTTTTAATTGCCAAATGTTTTACTTAGACAGGCTTTTCAGATGCATAAGGGGATAGAAAGATAAAATATGAGGTAATACGCTGTAGTAAAACCATCAGAAATACAAAACCTTATGAGAAAAATCATGAATGAATTTCTGATTTAGTAGCTGCATGTTTTGAAGTGAACTTTTTTTTTTTTTTAAACCAAATCATTTAACTGTGGTCCGTGTACATCTGCTAAAATAATAAGTGTTTTATAAAATCTATTATGAAATGTATTTTAAAGTAATGAGGAAATAAGTGTTCAAGTAAATAAAAGGCTAGCCAGGATCTTACAACAGTCCAGCCCTGGTTCCCACGCTGAACTGTCCTACACATGGTAAATGAGAGCCTTGGTCACTGGTCTTTCCCCTTCTGTTGCAATCGAGCATTCACCACAAGCTGCTGATTGCTTATTCATATTTTCTTTTATCCATCAGCGTGTTCTAATGCATTTCTAACATTTGCTTTTATTAAAAAATATATTGATTTGTTGTTTTTGCTTCTTGCTGGGAAGTGTAAACCCACCAACGGGAGGGCTTTTGGTTCCAAACTTGCTCTGTGATTATCCATTTTGAAATGAATGCCTGTCTGTGTGCGCTTGCTGTACAAAGCCAGCCATTTTTTTTGTGGAAATTATCTGTAAATTAATACCAAAACATACAAGAAGACTGTCTAGTTTGGTTTATTACGTTTGTACCGGTAACTAACTTTTAATACTTCTTACTTGGACAACACCCGATACTACCATTTTCACCACAATTATTTATTTATTTATTCATGTAGGTGCATTTATTGTTAAAACTAACTCTCGGTGAAAACTTTCAGTTTGCGACGGACTACCAACTGTCACAGTAACGTTACCCGACTGCATTTTGTCATTGCTTCCCCTGGCTAAGACATATCACCCGTATTGCGCATTTGAAGTCCTGGTATCTGTGCCTGGAATTGAAAGGAAGGGCATCTGGCTTTAAAAAAAAAAAATTGGATTTCAAAATACTTAAAGTGAGATTACGTCATTTTCTTACCCGCATGGTTCCAGTTAAAACCGTACTTTTGGAACGTTTGAGGAGATGGACACACAGTGCAATAAAAACATCCAAAATGAAAAAAAAAAAAGAAAAAGTTACATACTTTGGCTTTAACTTTTGCTGAAACGCTGTACTTTTTAGCAGCTCCGTCATTCCCATTAGTGTAAAGCAGTCCTGGTACTTGATTGGCGGTCTTGTCAAGCATCCCGTTTTTTTTTCTCCCTGCTGATTTTTCCTCCTTGCTTGTCAGTTTTCCGCTCCGTTCTTCCTGCATGGTAATTACACCGAGGATGAATGGTGGCGGTCTGTTTCGACAGCGGCAGATGGCTGTCCCAAAGAGAAATAATAATTATACCCAGCAGAACGCGCACTCTCTAACACCACCAATACAGTTGTAAGCTCGCAGGAAAAAAAAAAAAGAGAGAAAAAATTGTCCCACCATCTGTATTCGGCTAATGATACCTGTAAGCTAATCAGTCATTGAAAAGCGCTAGTTGTCAGTTAGCTTGCAACGCCCATGCACCGATAGCGCTATTAGAAACACCGCCTCTGCCATATCCGTGTCACGTAATTAGCATTTTCGCTTTTAGGCTTAATATACACGCCATAGGTGAATGAAAAACGCTAAAGGGTAATTTATATGACTACAAAAGGATGGTAATTTTAGTGTAGAGATTTGCAACATCTGGGCCCATTTGCGAAGTTAAAAGCTGTTATTACATTATGAATTATGCATGCGATTACATAAATAATGGATTTCTCATAAAAGGTGGTAAATGGTACTGAAGGTTAATAAAAGTGAATTGCTGTGAGTGAAGAAGCAGTTAATAATACGAAGAAGAATGCAGAAGGGTGATGATACATACAAACAGGCTCTGCTAGGTTAAATACATTTTAATATGTTACCGCGGGGATGACCAAGATGGCGGGTTATTGGGGTGATCAGATTTGTGAAATTAAAAACTGGGACACACCCGGGTTGGGATGGTTGGTATAAATAAAACAAATAAAACACGTAACAATGTCCATTCTCGACTCACTTCTGTTAGTCATGAGCTGCGGGACTTTTGTCGGTAAATGTTTTTGCCTTACGATTTTTGGGTTTTAAGTAAACAAACGATAATATATTCCCCTCTTTACTGGTGGTTGGTATCAAATTAGTCAAAATAGGGTACACTTTGGACATTTCTTGTTCAAAAGAGGGACAAATCAATGGTTTTGTATAAGTTTGAGGACACAGGGCTCAAAACGAGGTCTGTACCAGGTTAATAGGGACATCTGGTCACCCTTTACAGGACAGTTTTGATCAATTTTTATTTGGTTTCAGGCTTTTGTGCGTGTTGTCTTAATTTGGTCCTGGTTTAGTCATGAGTTAGACTAGGCCAGGTCTTGTTCTAGTCCTGATTTAGTCCTGGTTCAACCGAGATATAGCTCTGGGTTTAGTCTCAGTATAGTCTTATTTTGATGTGTGTGTTTGTGTATGTATGTGAGTGTTTTTTATGGTTTCATTAGTTGGCGAAAAGTTATAGTCTTAGTTTATGAGAAATATTTGTACTTTTAGTCATAATTTCAGTTATCATTTATGTTTAATTTAGTTGTAAGCAGGGACTATATGACTTTTTAGAAAACTCTGACAAATGAGTTTAGTTGACGAACTTAAACTAACCCTCAAAGATGGTCCTATCTACAACTCGAAAATACCAAATATCATTCGGGGTTTCCATTTCATAATGACTGTCTAATTAAAATGGCAAAATTTTGTGGATCCTCTTTTTAGAATGACTGCTGAATAGCTTAACACGTGGAACTTAACTCAAATAGAAGTGTTAAGGATGGTTGCCAGTGAAATTACAAGCTTATTCTCAAATTTGTAGAAAGGTACAGCCCTAACCACAGCTTTCACACTGCAAAAGTAAAATGACAGTTTTGATTCATTTAGTCGGTATTGTAGGTTATTGCAGTAAAGTGTTCTAAATTGCCCACGTCTGTTCTCATTAAAATAGATTATTACATAATGAATAATTGATACCTTTTCATACATAATTCATTACTCTTGATGAAAGCACATAGCTGGAAGGTAAAGGAAGTCTGACCTCTACAGGAGAACCAGGGTTGAAGGTAACAAAGTACAAGCAGTAAAGTACAGTACTTAAGTAGAATTTTTAGGTATCTGTAATTTACTTAAGTACATTTTAAAGTGAAGACTTTTTACTTTTATTTCACTACATTTGAAAGCACGTATCTGTATTTTATGGGTCATTACATTTTTTAACTGAACTGCAAAGTAAAAGTATATTTCATATGATTTTAGGGGTTATTTTATGATGTTGGTGGTAACATCCTGACAAAGGCTATTGAGTTCAAGCTTCAGCTTTGCACAAACAAAAATAAATACAAAAATTCATGAGAAAAAAATATGATATTACAATAAGATCTTGTATTGCAAGTGTTAATCAACATAAGTGTCTTTTTTCATCAATATCACTGCATTTGAACCAAATTAACAACACTTGAAATACTGAAAGCTTTTTCTCTTAAAGTACATTTGAAGAGTTCATTCACAAAAACAGATAAGTGCCATTTTTTAAAAAGTGATCAGAGGCTTACAGTTTACACTTTGTATAGAAATAACTGAGTACTTTAATACTTTTACTTAAGTAGTATTTTTCACGTGTGATATTTTTACTTTTACTTGAGTTTTATTTTTATAGTTTTATAGTACTTCACCCACCACTGAAGAGAATACACAAGCCACATACTAGTACACTGTAGTCCACGGCGGGGATGTTGGTATTAAAATAGCACAATAGTAGATATACTGAAAACTGTTATTCCATTCAGTCATTGTGGTTTTGACCCGTCCACCCACACAGCCTTCCTCCGGCTCACCGGGAGGCTGCAGAGATCCTCAGAACCATCGCGCGCTGGGTCGTGGGCCAGTGGAGAAGGGGGAAAGATAACAACGCTACCCCACGGCTAACTAAATACCAGCTAGCGCCAACTGTGTCAACATAAAGTGGTGAAATAAGTTGAGACTGACAGATTTTTGGTGAAACAAAAAGCAAATATATCAAGGTTGAGATTTTTTTTAAGACGAGACTCTACAGGCAAAACTTTTTATTTATTTATTTATTTCATTTTTTTGGTCAGTGTGGTCTCAACTTTCATGTGGAGCCAACAAACTCTTCCACTCTGCACTGAAATATGTTTTAATATTTAATTCAGTCAACTCACAGGATTTTTTGATATCTAATTCTAAAGTTTTAAACGCCAAAACTGAGGCAAAATTTGAATATTTTGGCACATAATTAACTCACACACTACAAAATACAAAATCCCCTCTGTATATTTTTAGCAAAAAGTAAAACGAAGCTAGAACTTTAAACCTGGTTCATTTCATGTTTCTGTTTTAAATGTCCCAAAAATTGTCAGTGTTGGCCATTTTTACACGTAAAGTCCCTTACTTTTATATGAAAACATTACATGATGGAAACCTGAATAAATTGTTTTCTTATGTTTATTTGAGTTAACTTCGGCAGAAGTTTCAAATTGATAATTTTTTTTTTCCTATTTACATGCAGTGTCTCACCTTGATTAGTATATGACTGAAATTATCATTGCATGCAACGTTTAAAGGTGTAGCAGTATGAATCTTGGAGGTATGTTTTTCCAGAAGCCCACAGTATGATGCTGGTATAGAGTTGTGGTTAACTGAATATAGTAGAATTTTAAAGGCACATATTACACCATTTTCTGATCTATGTTACAGTGTTGTTTCCTCATCAAAAACGTACCCAGAGTTATATTGTTTCATTCACACATTCAAACTCCATACACCTTCACTAAGGATAATCATGTGGACAGATTGGAATTGTGAATCTATACAGAACAAAATGTAAAAAGTAACTGTTGACATAAAGACTACC